TAGGTGCTGTACAAAGACGCAGTGAGGGAGACCCGAGCCCCAGATACCCTGGTGATGGAATCAATAGAATAATCTAAGGTATATCCACTTGCTTAGGTCCCAAAATACGCTTTCCTTAGAATCCTATGTATTGTCTTCCCTGGGCAGTGCTATAGGACCATGTGTGTAATATATTCCCTGTCCTCCACATTTTAAATCAGATTTTCGGCCCAGAGCAGAGTAAAAAGCATGTATCAATACTGGTTTATGGGCTCACATTGTCCTTTGCAGGCATAGTTCGCTGTTGTGCGCCTACCGAGTCGGGTTTTGTGGATCAAAGGCAGTATACATCAGATCATCGATCACTTTATAATATGCCCTTTTCCTCTGTTGCAATCAATGGGGGAAAACCCACTCACACAATTAAAACCCACCTCCAGCTAGGCAGGAGACATGCGGATTTCTAGGGGATTTCTGTGTCATTCTGTCTAGGAGTTTTGGGGTGGGGGACCTAATTGTTGCCTCTGCAAAGGGCCGGAGGTGATCATCCTTGTTGATGTAGCAGGAGTGTCGAGTGCTAGGCGCAAAACGCACTGTTGTAAGCTCTGTGGGGCAGGAGGTGTCTTTTCCTGTCTGTACCACGCCCAGCACAGTAGGGTCCTGGTCCATGACTGGGGCTCCTCGGCCTCGCCACAGCGCCGATGATAACCAGAGTCGCAATCGAGGCAGTTCTGCTAATGCGGTTCCTATTTTCTGATGTCTCTGCAGCAGTGCAGGAACATCGTGCCCCCTGGATGGTGCATCTAGAGTTGTTGGATGGATCTCCCTGGGATCTAGCCCTGTGCAGTCCTGGTTACCGCAATTACCGATCACGCTCGAGGGCCTGGTACTTTTGTTCTGTCTTTTCAAAACATCCTCCTTGTTCCTCCAAGTCTCGTGCTTCCTCCTGAAATTCACTTTTTCTTGTTAATCGCTTCCTGCTGCCTCGTGCTCCCGATCGAAGGGGGAATGGTTTCCTCCCCTCCAATCATACTTAGGGTTGTGCTTGGAAAAAAGCAGCTGCAAGAGGGGAAGTTTATTGGGAAGCACTCGCCGTTGCGTTAGTTAAGAAAGGGTCCTTTCCCCGCGGGCTGCCTTCGCTGTCTCTGTCTGACCATTTACCTCTCGGTGGTGCTTTAATAATGGCAAGTAAATGCAGAGAGGATGTCAGATAAAGCCACGCAAAGCTGCCATTTAAATCCTCTTGTGTAAGTTTGATATCCAAAGTGGAAGCACAAATGCCATATAAGTCAATTAAAGCATTAAGTAATCTAATTGTGCTGTGGCCACAAAGTGGCTTAAAGGCTGAGAGAGGCAAGTGAATAGTGTGTCCAGAACCCTCCCAGCCCCCATTTTAGCATTCCCCCGAGGCCTTTGTGAATGAGTAAAGGGGGAGGGATGTTAGGGAAGGGGTGGAGGTTGGTGGTGAGAACATACACACACACACAAGGACAACAATGAACAAGAGAGAGAGAGAGAGTACGTGCACACAGGCACTATGATCAGCGTCCAAAGGCCCCCTTCCCCTGGCCTTGAAATTTTGGAATTTGCTTTGCCCTTAGCAAGGCTCCCTGTCTGTCTTTGTTCATTAGCTCAGAAGAAGGAGAACAGTGCAATTAAAGTCACTTAAGAAAAGAAAAGGGTGATGTGCGGTTAGCAGGTTTCAGAGTAACAGCCGTGTTAGTCTGTATTCGCAAAAAGAGAAAGAGGACTTGTGGCACCTTAGACTAACCAATTTATTTGAGCATAAGCTTTCGTGAGCTACAGCTCACTTCATCTCCAGCACGGCCCGCCCTGGATTCTTTCATTGTGTGCAACTTTTCCCTGGTGCGTTCCTGGGCCAGAGACCTTCACTCCGTTCCGGTGAGAACGAGTGGGCCTGAGTCATGGAGCAAATCCACTGGAATCGACAGAGTTAAACAAGAGTAAAACCCGTGTCAGTGAAGCTTGCTCTGTGTATGTGGATCCATGTAATGTAATCTGTCCTCCCACTGCTCAGGGACCGCACAATCCAGGGCTCTAAATTCTGTTCAAAGTCATTGGGCTAGATGCTCAGCCGATGGAAATCAGCATAACTCCGTTGATTTCCACGGAGTCCGTGAGGATCTGGTGCAATTTCTTCCACAACGACACTAAAGCTAACCAGTGGGGCTTGTCATGTAAAGCCAGTGGCTGCATGCTTTCTCCCGTTACTGTCTAATACATTTAATGAAGAATCCCAGCGTACAGGGGTCTGTTTTGTTTTTTCAAGGCTGTTTCATTATTAATGAGCCCCAGTTACCCTGCAAGGGGACTCCACTAGTCTGATTCTCCTCCTGCATGTGTCAATTGATCGAAATCATTGGCGTCAGCCAGGTGAAAAAAGGATGTGACCTCACAGTTGGGCCCCATATTTATATATCTCTAAGGGCCTGGTCCTGAAGGTCCGGCAAAGTCCAGAGGAGGCAAGAGTGCTCAGGACCTCACAGGATTAGGCCCCTTGGTTCCCGCCCGTGTAAAATCCTGCTGGAAGCTGTGTGAGTTGCTATCCTGAGCAAGTGTCTGGAATGAAAAACTACACTAGGCAGCATGGTGCATAGGTGCCGACTTCCTCTGTTCCTGGGTGATGCTCGGCCCCCGCTCTAGACCAGACCGTGCCCCCACTTCACCCCTTCCCCCAAGCTTCCACCCCCGCCCCGCCTCTTCCCAGCCCCACCCTGCCCCACCCTGCCTCTTCCCGCCCTTTCCGCTGCCTCTTCCTGCCTGGCTCTTCCCCCTCCCCTCCAGCGCCCCCTGAACAGCTGATTGTGGCTGGCGGGAGGTGCTGGGAGGGAGGGGGAGGAGTTGATGGGGCGGGTGCTGAGCACCCACTGTTTTTTTCCCATGGGTGCTCCAGCCCCGGGGCACACACGGAATCAGCACCTATGGCATGGCGGCTTATCCCACTTGATACCCTCTCTCCCCACCTACCCACACGCGCCCCAGGGAGCACAATGAAGGAAGCTGGCTCTGTAGGAGCCCGGTCCTGGACCACCAGCATGAACAGGTTTGTCTGGGTGGATTCCATGGAAGGTGGGAACCCTCCCCCCCCAACTCACCCACAGCACGGGGACCAGAGCAGCTGCTGGCTTCTCTTTATGGCGGGTTTGCCCAATGGGTCTCTGCTCCCTCATTCGCACTGGCCGTATGCCATCCCAGCACTGCTGCAGGGAGGGTCCCTTTGGACCCTCGCTCTGCTGTGCTCGGTGGGAGCAGGTTCCCCCTTCTGCAGCCTTCTCTTGTGCGCAGCAGAGCCATTGCCTTTAGGCCAGGAGGCAGGGCACAGCTCTTAGAAAACACCCATCCAGCTTTGTGATATTTCACCTCCCTGACAGTATGTATTTAATTTCCCGTGACAAATGGGCCTGGTGAAAAGAGCCTGGGATTCATATAGGCTCATGGATAATTCATAGAAAGTGTCCAACACGTCAGGAGAGGTGGAACCTGAGGCCTGTCTGCGTCGTTCTGCCTGGTTTATCCACGTGCTGATACGAACCAGTGCCTTGTGCTTTACTCTGTACGCAGGGCCTTTAGGGACAGTATTGTGCAAGGGGCCAGCACCCCAATAGCCCAGCAAATTGTGATCTGAGTCCCAGCGTCTTCACTCAAATCTATATCTGCTATGACCCTTTTGGCTGAGTCTCCTCTTGCTCCTGCTGGCGTAAAGCGGGAAGGGAGCTGCATGTTTGAGAGGAGGAGACTCTGATCCTTTGTGTTCTGTCCTAAACTTATCTTCTAACCCTTTGAACAATCTGAGCAGAAATGCAGACTGGAGTCTGCCCCTTGTGTGCCATTTACACCAGTGCAAAGGCAGTGCAAAGTGCTACCATGTGAAAATGGCTTTGCAGTGTTGTGAAGGCCCCGACAAGGCCCAGGGTAACAGACTAAGGGCTAGTCGAAACTGCCACACTACATCGCTCTGATCTGAGTTACATCCTCTGTCGATGCATATTTCATCACAACAACCTTAACTCTGACTTAGCATGTGAGTTCTTAGGGCAGTGCCTGTCTTTTTGTGATGTACTTGCAGTGTCTTGCTTTGGGCGTGACTGGGATCTCCAAGCACTACTGCAGTGAAACTAATAATAATAATGATCCATGATTCATTGGGTGGGTTTTGTGGTCCTATTTTGAATTTCTCAAATAAAAAGTGGCTTAGACGTGTAAAGCACTGCAATGATTATTAGTGATACGCAGGGAATTGTGTGTATGGTTCCCATCGGTGTGAATAGACTAAAATCCACTCCAAACCATCAGAGATGAGAATGTCTCCTCTTAGGCCCTGATCCAGTGTGTTCTATACTGTTCCACAATCTTGTCTTGATCACAAAATGCTGCCTAGTAGAACTTTGAGTGAAATAAGCAGCTGGTCTTGGTATTCTTGTGACCACTGGGGGCGAATCTCCGTTTTGGCACGTGGTGATATTTACAACTGGGACTGCATAGGTCACTAAACGTTTTCCCAGTGTAACTTAAACATTTTTGTCTTGAAGCCTGATTCAGTTTTTTTAAAAAAGCTTCCCCACCCCCACCCCCAAAATCATAGGGCATAGAAATTCTCCTAAAGAGAAGCCAACCCAGCCTCAAAAGGGGCTCTATGAACATCACAGAGCCTTTTGCTAAAATATTCAAACTTCAGCGCCTGAAGGCAGGCTCCGGAATACCACTGGCCTGCTTGGCAAGGTGCTAATTGCCCTCAGCTCCTGCGGACTTCAGTGGGCCTTGTGCCTGCTCTTCACTTCTAGAGATCAGGATACTTTTATTTAGGTGAGGGGTTCTTGGCCTCTTCCGTGCGGAGGACACCCATGGAGCCCTATCGCGTAGCTGGGACCCTCTTTACGTTTAGCAAACGGAGAAGGGCAGGGTGCTGAGCCCCGTACATTTAAACCTGCCTCCAGTTCAGCAGGACCACTCTACTCCAGGACCGTATTTAACCCTTTCTACCTCTGTTTCCCTGTCCCCAGCTCTGTTGAAGATGCACTGGACACCAGAGCATGCCCAGCCCCTGAACCAGTGGCCAGAGCAGCACCTCGATGTCTCTTCCACCACCTCCTCACCGGCCCACAAATCTGACCTCTACCACAGCAGCCGGCAGCGCTTCAACTACGCCTGGGCCAACGACGACATCTCCGCGCTGACGGCCTCCAACCTCCTCAAGAGGTATGCGGAGAAGTACTCGGGGGTGCTGGACTCGCCCTATGAGAGGCCGGTGCTGAACAGCTATGGAGATGGAGCCTTTGGGCCGCTCAATGGGCAGAAAGGTGACGTGGAGCCCTGGCCGATGCCGCACGGCTCGGACGGTGCCTACCCCCTGAACACCATGCACGATGGGCTGCCTGGCTCCAAGGGGGTTGTTCCTTCTGCCCCAGGAAATGGGCCGGTAGGGCTTGGCAGCTCCCCTGTTGTCTGCGAGGTTGCTCGGGACCCCATTTATCCCACTAACTCGTGTGGGGGAGCCGCCGGCTCCAGCGGCCTTGGCTTGTCTCAGGAGTATACCTCAGGCTACAGTGGCACCTACCTGCCATCGGGCTACTGCAGCCAGCCCGCGACAGCACTTCCCCCTCCCCACCCGTCAACCCTGCACAGCTCAGGACTCTTGCAGCCCACGCACCCTTCCTCGGCGCTGGTCCCCAGCTACAGCTCCTCAGGACCCATGTACAACTACGCTTCAGGCAGCTACGCGCCTCAGCCCGGCTACGGGGGGATCCACCCTCCGCACCCGTCGGCCTCTTACCTGCCCTCGGGCATTGCTGCACCCACCCCCATCCCCCCGCCGCCCCCCTCCTCCCGGCCCCCGGGCATCCCTGGTTATAGCTACCAGAGCTCCAGCCTGCCCCCCCTCCCAGTGCCCCCCCTCAGCAGCGACTCGGGGGGCTCCCTGAAACGAAAGGCCTTTGATATCCCGGGGGGGGGAGGACGAAGCTGAGGGCAGGTACAGGAAATACAGCTACGAGCAACCAAAGTCCACCCCTGAGTCGCCATACCAGATGTCCGACAACGGCGAATGTGGAGGCAACAGCTTCAGCCGAAGCACCGAGACCTCTCAGCTGCCCTTCAAGGCTGGGAAAAGGCCGACGGGAGCAGCGGCGACAGTGGCCTTGGAGGAGCATGTAGGGAAGTACAACAGCCAGCCCATGAAAGGCCTGGTCTCCCCTCCGTATGGCGCCGGGGAAGCCCCTTTGAGGCCCGGGGAGAGCTTTGAGAAGTTCACCCCGCCTCTCGCCAATGGCGAGCGTGCAGGTGGCGAGCAAGGTCATGCCTTCACCCACGGGATGCAGGCCAAGCCGCAGGGGTTCAGCAGCCAGCCTGTGGAAGAGCAGCTGAAAAACGTAGACCCCCTGATACTAGAGCTGGTGAACAACAAAATCGTCGACTGCAGCCCGCCCGTCCAATGGACGGACATTGCTGGCCAGGTCTCGGTCAAAGCCGCCATCGAGGAAGAGCTGGTGTGGCCTATCCTGAGGCCTGGGGCCTACACTGGGGAGAGCCGGCCACCCAGAGCCATCCTACTGTTCGGGCCTCGTGGAGCAGGGAAAACCCTGCTGAGCAGGTGCATCTCCACCCAGCTGGGCTCAACCTTCCTGAATCTCAGCGGGACGGCCCTGCTTTCCAAGTGGAAGGGCGAGGCCGAGAAGATCCTGCAGACGGTCTTCTTCGTGGCCAGCTGCCGTCAGCCATCAGTGGTGCTCATCTCCGAGGTGGAGTCCCTCCTCGTGGCCTGCGCTGGTGAAGAAGCCGCCCAGGCGAGCGGCCTCAAGACTCAGCTGCTTTCCTACTTGGACAACATAGCTACCTCAGCCGAGCAGAATGTCGTCGTCATCGGGACGACCACCCGGCCCAGCACTGTGGACGAAGCCTCCCAGAGGAGGTTCACCAAGCGGTTCTACATTTCCCCGCCCGACAGCATCGCCCGGCGGCAGATCCTCCACCACACCTTGGCCCAGCAGAACTACTGCCTCAGTGAACGGGAGATGGCCTCCCTCGTGCAGCACACCGAGAGCTACTCGGGCAGCGAGCTCATCCAGCTGTGCCAGCAGGCCGGCCCCACCAAACTCCACAGCCTGCCAGGCCAGCTGCAGCCCACCTCCTATAAAGACTTCGAGAACGCCTTCTGTAAAGTCCGCCCCACCGTCTCCCAGAAGGAGCTGGACTTGTACATGGAGTGGGACAAAATGTACGGGTCCAGGCACTGACGGCGCGTGGAAGGGGTGGGCTGGGGGAGCCAAGCCCTCAGCCTCAGACTCCAGTGGCATTTTTTTTGTTGATGGTGTTGTTGGTTGTGTGCCAGCTTGACCTCTGAGTGGAAGATTCGGGGGGATTATTTTGTATTTGTTAAGATCTATTGCTCTGGAGTCTCTGGTCTAGCTCCAGCTGCTAAGGATGGAATCACAGCTCGCCCATGAATTCAGTCAGTGTCTTTTGTCTTTCTCCTATGTCCAAGCTGATCTGAAGGTGAAATACTTGATCCAAGAAAAGACCCGAACACAAACAAATTCTTTTACAGGCTTTTTTATGTCATACTTGACTGATTTTGTTTGTTTGTTTTTGTTTTTGGAAGTAGTCGCTCACTGAACTCAGGATAATCTATTTATTATTCGTCTACTTTCCCGTTCATCCGTTTTGAGACCAGCAACGTAAAGGATGCAGCCAGGTGGAGATGTGTTTGGTTTTAGCCTTCTCATGCGTGATACGACAGCTCTCTAGTCGATTTACAGAGACCTGATTTTTGTTGTTGTTGTTCCTAATAGAAATTTTTCAGCCATCATTTAACAAAACCAGCCCCCTTTGGCTGTGGCTCTGTGGGCAATTTTTCTGTACTGAACTGTGCCATACAAAGGACTTGTCCCCCGCACAAGTCAACATCTTTTCAAGCCATCATGAGGAATTTATTATTAGGAATAAACGGCACAGGGAGATGGGAGGAGGGAGGGAAGGTTTGAAGTAAAGAAAAATGTAGATTGTTTAATATACTAGACCTCATTTTTATTTTTGTAATGTATGTAGTATTTTTTTGTTTTTTCTTTTTAACTACTCAGGAAAAAAATTACCTCAGAAAAAACAAACAAACAAACAAACCCGAATGTGTTTTTAAAAACTCTTTTATCTTCTCAAGAAAGGGAAGGGGGGGAAAAGATCTTAAGAGTTTGCCAAACTCAATACAAAGCTGCATTATGTGTTTGCTTCCAAAAAAGGGTGACAGAAAGAAGAAAAAAACAAAACTTGAAGTTGTTACAAAGATGAAAGCTGAATGTATTTCGGGTGCTTTTCACAATATATTATGCCATAATTTTATTTTATTTTTTTTTCCACATTGTTATTGTAGCGTTTGGTGGAGTAACGTGTCTTCAAAGGAAAAGAGAGTATTAGTGCCGTAGTTTAAAAGCTGTTGCTAGTACCACTTTTTGGATAAACCTACGGGGTATGTTCCCAACTTTCTTGGTTTGCAAAGCTTGCTTCTCTGTTGTGCTCTCCACTTCCTCTTCTTGCATCTCCCAGCTAGGGGCCCTTCCTGGGCTGCAGAAGTGAGCATGTTTATGTGTGGTCAAGACCCAACCATGTTGTAAGAAGGTTTATTTTGCCTTTGTGAACAGGAAAAACTATGGTAGAGAACCAAGTTTTAACCTGCAAAGGCTTCTGCACTGTGCGTTTAAGGCCTTATCTCCAGGAGAAAGCTGCACTGCTTTACTTAAGGGTGAGATTTCAAACAGATTTAATGAAACCAGTGCAAACCTCTGTGTGGATGCTCATCTTTTTGTTTAAACCAGGCGTATTTCGGTGTAGCCCAGAGTCAGTTAGGAGTTGGCAGAAGCTGAAACAAAACGAGCTGCCTTTAAACCAAACTAAGAGGTTTGCACCAGTTTAACTAAATCATTTTTAAAAAACAGCTGAAGTTAAACTAGTGCCGTTTGGTAGGTCTCAGCCCATTTCTTACTGCCCAGTCCTGCACATTGTGTTGCTGGCGTGTCATGTTGCCCCGTGCAGAACAACATGCCGAATCAGGGACTTCGTTTGCAGGCAAGGCCCTCTCAAAACCCACCCCTACAGGAGCAGAGAGCAACGGCAGAGGGGTAAAGCTAAATATCTCGTGTGTCTTCCTGGCACTAGCTGTAACCCTCTGAGACCCGTGTGTGCATCTGAAATAATGCAAGGCCCAGTCGCCTCATGCAGAGGCTTTTCTGGTCTCGCATTTTCCTTCCATCTAGCGAAGATGGGTAAAACATGTTTTGTTAAGGGGGAAAAAAAGTAAGTTGATATATCCAGCACATTTGAGGTAGTTTTATTTAACTAGTTAAAACTTATTTAAAATGCTTGGTTTTTTGGATTTTTAATTGAATTCCAATTTCCATACAAATGCAGCTATTCGACATTGGTGAGGCCTGATCTGGAGTACTGTGTCCAGTTTTGGGCCCCACACTACAAGAAGGATGTGGATAAATTGGAGAGAGTCCAGCGAAGGGCAACAAAAATGATTAGGGGTCTGGAACACATGACTTCTGAGGAGAGGCTGAGGGAACTGGGATTGTTTAGTCTGAAGAAGAGAAGAATGAGGGGGGATTTGATAGCGCTTTCAACTACCTGAGAGGTGGTTCCAGAGAGGATGGTTCCAGACTATTCTCAGCGGTAGAAGAGGACAGGACAAGGAGTAATGGTCTCAAGTTGCAGTGGGGGAGGTTTAGGTTGGATATTAGGAAAAACTTTTTCACTAGGAGGGTGGTGAAACACTGGAATGCGTTACCTAGGGAGGTGGTGGAATCTCCTTCCTTAGAAGTTTTTAAGGTCAGGCTTGACAAAGTCCTGGCTGGGATGATTTAGTTGGTGTTGGTCCTGCTGTGAGCAGGGGGCTGGACTAGATGACCTCCTGAGGTCCCTTCCAACCCTGATATTCTATGATTCTATGATTCTATGTCCCAGTCAGTGGTAGGGGAAGGCAGGGCAGTACCATTGTGACCCCCTGGGAATCATACCCACTGGCCCAGTGGCATTGCCACCATTCCAGAACTAAGGGGTCCGATCCCAACCCCACTGTATTCTTCTTACCCGCGTGGAGATTCGCATCACCTCAGCCCCCGGCTGGCTCCCTGAGCTGCATTTATACGGCCTATAAAAAACAAGCCAAGCACTTGAAATACAAAATGCCAAACCCCCAGGCACTTGAAGTACTACTGCGGGCACTGCCTGGTAATAGAGTGTGAGCCCATGGTTTGTGCTTATCTAGGACACTATAGCAATGCTTAGCAGCCGAAGGGCTAGAGCTAAAAGGCCAATGGAGAATTAACGTCTAATGCTGAGAACTGGCCACTTTGGGGCAGGGAAGAGGCACAGAGCAGGATGAAGCAGGTTAGCAAGGGCATTGGGAGATTCTCTGGTCCTGAATTTCGGTTACTCCCATCCCTGCATGTGTGGGAAGGTGGAGTTAAGGTGGATTTAAGCCAGTTTTGCACTCCCCTGTGTTTTGTGGGCTTTCAGGGGCCATCATATCCTCCAGTGTTAAACTGGAGGTACAGCAGCCTCAGGGGTGCTCTAACTTATGCTTTAGTTCCCATGGCCCCCTTTGGGCCAGGAGAAGCAGAGAATAGTGGCAGTGTAGTCCAGGCACTCCCACTTCCTTAGTTAGATCATTTTGCTCTACTGGGGGGAAGGCAGCTGGGGGAAGCTAGCCAGGGTACCACAGTTGTTCCCTCCCTGGCTCTGTGTTCATCACAGCCATTCTCTTCTCACACCAGATAATGCCCCTGTGCCAGGTGCCAACACATGGCTGCCTCTTAACTTCTTTCTCTAGGCATGTTCTTAACAAATCATTTGGGAGGGAACAGACACCTTGGCTCATGGTCTACAGGACTGCAATCATGCCCCTTATCCCCACCAAAGCTTCGTTGGTGTTGCATTTGATAAAACCAGTTTCTTGAGAGGTTTTGCATGCTATAGTCTGTGAGCCAGGAACTCTGACTGCTCAGGGAGAGTGGAAGGGTGTTTGCAGGGGTGAGATGAGGGAGCTGGAGCTGTTAAGGGGCTTGCTGCTTCTCTGTCCTGACTTTGGAGCCCATGTGTCTCATGAGAAGATTCTGCTGCTAGCATTGCAACGTTCCCCCCTTCACCCTACAACGAATGAGGTTTTTGCACTCGCACCCAGAACATGCGATGTCCCTGCACAAACATATAACGGCCCAGTCCCCAACCCAAACTATTTCTTGAAATCCTCAATTTGAGTAGCTGCCTGAAAAGGAAATCTTTTTAAAAGGGGCATCTGCATTGTAAAGACTCACTATGTAACTCAGTCTAACTGCACCATCTCTGCCTCTGATGGACCAGAGCAAGTAGCAGAATAGCACTGATGTGCTTGTGACAACCAGCGTTCATTAGCTTTGTGCAGATTTACTGTATAACCAGACCAACCATTTAAAACGATGTAGGGCCCAATTGAAAGCCCTTTTGAGTAAATGGAACTAGAACCCTATCCACTTCACTGAACTGTGGATCAGATCTTTGGATGATGAGTGCAAACAGGGCTCTGTTACTTTTTATGGTGCAGATGTTCCTTTTCACTTTCTGTATCGATCTCCACCTTCATCTCAATTTGCAATAATCAGATTGACCCAGAAGCTGGAGAGGGATAGCACTGTCCTTTATTTGTTCTTCACTGTGCTGCATTCCGCTGCCCTTTGCGGGCTGTGACAAGCATTGCCACTTGAAAAGTGCCATTGTCTCTTGTGGGGGCAGGTGTGCTGCGTTGGATTGGATTGTTTTCACTGCTCTCATTCATTCCTTCCCTCCTCCCTCTGCTTCCTCAGATCCTAATATCTCACTTTCTTTCAGGGTCTTTCCACCAGCTCCTTTTGAGGCATCTCCTTCTCCGGGTTGGATTCGAGAACCTTGGCAGCTCTAACCAGTGCTCCGTCTCTCGGACAGCTGCTGCGTTTAACCATTGAGAAAGCAGAAGCCCAGGCTATTAAAGTAGCCTTACATGAGTGTATAATTTAGGAGGCAAATTAAATAAGCTCTTCTCCATTATCTCTGAGGGCTTAGTATAAAACACTGGATGAGACCCAGGGCACTTTTCACACAGGGCTCAGTTTTTCTGCTTTTTCTCTCTAGGATTCTTCATTTGTTCTTTCGAAATCATGGAAAACAAAAGCCAGAAAGTGTTCAGCAGCTAGAGAGAGCTGCTTGCAGTGAGGTGTCCAATGGTGGCACTTACTGGGCAACTCACTGCTGGAATATGTGCTTGCCACTCAGACCAGGATATAGTCCCTGAAATAGCTGCACCTGACTCTTCTTGCTGAAGTTTGCCCAAGACACAGAGTTACATTCTGTATTAACCAAAAGTCCCCAGGTGTCAGGAATCAACCCATATTCTCTATGACCAGGGATTCCCTGGGGCTGTTGCCCAGACTCAGCACTTCCCCTGTTATATATGTTGGTGGTTTGGAAATGGTCCTAGTTACAGTCCATGTACAATGGTTGAACAGCTGCTCACTGAAAGAAAAGGGGCAGCAAGACCATACATGCAGTAGGCTGCAGGAATCGACCCTCTAAAATTCTAGCCACTTGTTTTTCTTAATGATGGTATCTGGCTCCAGCCAGACCCTCATCCTTTTTCTGATTTCCCACTGAGAATTAAGAATGGCTAGACTTGGCTCTCTTGGGGAAAGGATTTCTGGTTGGTCTATCTTCCCTTGATTAGTAATGCATGAAAATGAATAAAGCAAAGGGGGAAGGAGTTGACTGACAGTGGAACCCTGAGGAGGGAGAGGATTGAAAAGGTGCAGGGGATTTTAATTTTTTTTAATTTATCAAGTTTGACTGTGTTGGGCCAGTTTTCAAAACTTGGCCGCTAAATTTAAGAGATCCAATGCCATGGTCGGGCTCTCAGATTGACACTCAGGCACCTAAGGCATGTATTTGGGCACCTGACTGCTGGTTTGAATGGCTGGGGGACAAATTGGGTGTCCAGCGTTAAAAGTGGGGTATGGACAACATCAGTTGGTAAGGGGAGGGTGTATACGTGAGAGACATTGGATAAACTGGTTGAAATACAATAAGATAACATGACCCAGACAATTTTCAAAAGATTTTTTTTAAAAAATGTTTCTGTGTTCTTGTTTTATATGAAATTGGAAGTACTATACAAGAGGAACTGTTCTTTATTTTTTGTCTATTAAGAGGCAACAAGGAACCAAGACTTCTGGGCTCTGTTCCCTGATGGTGTCATGGGTTTACTGCACGACCTTGGATTAGTTTTATAACATGCTCTGTGCCTCAGTTTGCCCATCTGTAAAATGGGGGATAATCCCACTCGCAGAGATGAGGAATCAGCAAAAATCTCCCAAGAAATATAAATGTCTCTGTGGTGTAATTAGCAGCACGTTCCCTGAGTTGTACTCCAGGCTGGGACTTAAGGAGATCCAGGATAGTGGCAGCAAGCTGCACAAGCTGTGAGCTGAAGAGCCAGAGAGGACTGAAGGGTCTGTGTCCAGGACCTCAACAAAGAATACCTTGTTATGTTCAGTATAGCCAAAGCCTCTCTATTTCCTGCTGCATGAGACATCACAGGAGGAGGCTATGTCCAAATATTATGATATCTACATGAACTTTTTCAGGTTCACCTGTGTACGTGTGTATCTGCACATTCACTTGATAGTACCATGATCGCCTTTCTACAAAGTTGGCTCTTGGGGATATTTTTAAAATGTACCTCCTTTTAGCATCCTCCTTGCCCTCCCTCTCACCTTTCCTCCAAAAAGTGGTACTGGATTTTTGAAGACTCTTTTTCTTATTATCATATTTGACTTTGTACATCCTCTGTAACCATTTCTACCTCATTTTGCAACATATTGTACATGAAAGTATTTAATTCATGTCTTATTAATGTCTGAAAAGAAATGCTTTTGAACTGTAATGGTCTACCTCAAAAAATACTGTATTTTAAAAAGAAAAGTATTACACAGTATTAAAGAGATTACATGAAAAACAACGTTTGACTGCAAGAGCATGTAGTTTATTATTCATTACATCATCTCTCTCTCAGAACGTTCACAGTGGTATTTGGAATCGTCACAGTAACAGCGTGGAAATACGGCCAGGGAATCTGTACCCTATTGTGACAACTGGTCAGGGATTTTTTGACTAGAAGTTTTCCCACCCAAAAACGTTGCTTCAGCAGAACTGAATGTGTTTGTGGGAATTAGTTGGTTTTGACAAATTTACTCCGCTCGAAAACCTGTCGGAAAAAAGTTTTCACATTATCAAAATGTCCTGTTTCAACGTTTTAGAAACAAAACATGAGTTTCCTGATTCAAAATGGTTCTGTTTTGAAATTTAAGCTAATTATAGTTAAATAATTTTTTAAAAAGGGTCAGAGACAAAGCATTTGGAAATGATCAGAATAAAAGTTTCAGTGGACCCAAACCACACACATGTTGGTTTGCAAAAAGTTTTGAGATTATTATTTTTCATCTCAATTTGAGACAGGGAATTTTTTCTAAATCTCAAATATTTTCCCAGGACAGGGAAACCCTTTCCTGCCCAGTTCTGTTTATTACACAGCTACTGCCCACTGCTGGAGAGGATCAGTACTTCACTTGTTTTTGGCAGTGCTGCCCTCTAGTGGCTAGAGGTCCACAGTGTCCTGTTATTGGCAATAAATGGAGAGTCTCCTTTGCAGCCAAACATTAGCTCTGTGATATTTGGAGCAGGAGCCCTAGTATTCTGGTCACTAACACTGCACACCTGTGCGTGGTTTAACTGGTGACCAGGTAGGTACACAGCAGCTGATTCCTTCCTTCCAGCACAGCAGACTACAGAACTAGCTCTCCCCGAATATGAGATGACCACAAGGGAGCTGCTTTGGGGTGTGGGACCAGACCCCTGGAGATCCTGCCCACCTGCTCTAGGGAAGTGCGTGCTGACTTTTGTGGAGCAGCAGTAAGGGGCACTGCAAAGTGTGTTGCTCCTCAGGCCTCCTTGACAGGGTGGCTTGGGGACCCTCTGCTCAGCCCCTGTCTCTCCGCTCCCAGAGCCGCCCTCCCCCCATCAAAGCAGAGCTTTGTCCTGTGTGAATGTCAAGGTGGGTGTCTCTTAGGAGATGATGGGGGCTCTGGAGGCAGAGCTGGTAAGCACACGTGCAGATTCCTCACTGTTCCTTCAGGGCACCCCATGGGCCAAGGCCCTTTCCCACCGTGGTTTCCCCACCGAGGGGGAACATGCTGGGGCAGGAACTGAGGAAGCAGCTCTCACCCTCTGGGAAGCTGTGGGGTTATATAGGATGTTTGCAGCCTTGTTGGCCTCTGGATTTTATAGGAGTATCTTTGGGAAGAGCTCTCCAAGTAGGGCTGCCAACCCTCCAGGATTGTCCTGGAATCCCCAGGAATTAAAGATTAATCTTTAATTAAAGATTGTGTCATCTGATGAAACCTCCAGGACTATGTCCAACCAAAGTTGGCAACCCTCTCTCCCAGGGGTAGCAATCCTCCCCGCACCCTGGCTCTGGGAAGCTGAATGGTGGCAGCTGGAGGCCTGGCTGAGCCCAGGTGAGGCTCGTCCCCTCGTCAGGCGCTTCCCTCCGAGCAGAGCAGAGCAGCGCAGCTTTGCCTCTGGAGGAGAAGGGACTCTTGCTGGTTTCCCTCCCCTGGGCCTCGCCTGAGGAGCAGGGTGACCAGGACATGGCTGCTGAGGCCAGTCAGTTCCCATGGTGATGGGCACAGGCTAAAGGCGGTGGCAGGCCTCGTCCCCCAGTCAGTGGGGTGCTTTGCCCACCTGCCTCTGAGGCTGCTACCTGCCCACTTCTGCAGCAGGCCAGGGTGGCAGGCGTTGGCCTGGCTCTGTGGTTGCCCTGGCACCAGGGCTTGGCTTGTGCTGCAGTCAGAGACCAGCTCCCTCCTAGGCTGTGAGCCCCCCTCCATCTTGATTGCAGCGGGACCAGGGCATGCCTGTCCACTTGCAGGTGAGAAATGGGGGGAGACCGGGGAGACATGGGCAATCTCTGCTCAGGGGGATGCATCTGGGGTACTGGGTGAAGGCTCCCTCCACCAGGGAGAGGGGAAGGGAGCACGTGGGGGTACTTATTCTAAGAAAAAGGTGAAACATCTGCAAGGAGGGTCTGGGGAAAGGGGCCTTTTGGCTGCAGAGCAAGGGGGCAGAGGGAGGCCTATTTTAACAAAGAAGGAGCTGCTGAGTGTGATATAAATGTCTAGGCAGGTGGGGGGGGTCTCTCCATCTGGGATAGAGAATTGGGGGTCAGGGGGTATTGGGTGAGGTTTTTTCTCCCATCAGGAAGGGGAGGTGGGGGAAAAATCAGACATGGAGTAACGGACAAAAAAGTGTGTCTAAAGAAGGGACAAGGTGATAGTCATGTGAAATATAGTCCAGAGGTCAGTCCCTCAGACATTGTGAAGTGTTCCTTAACCCTGGAGAGATGGTCTTGTATGGACTGGGATTTTAAAACAATTGTGCCCTAGCTTTCAAGGGAGCTGGAGGCAGCTCCTACCTAGAGGTTGTTCCCAAGAATCCAGACATGCCTGTATAGAATACACATGTTGCACCTACTCTGTATTCCAGGGAGTTTTCACCTAACAGGTGGGGAGGGGGAGGGTGTTTATATGAAAAAAAATACAATATCTCTAGGTACATAGTCTTTAAGTTCCATTTAATCTAAGCACCATACCATCATCCAAAACTACATCTACACACGGAATTATTTTGTGACATCTGTGTTGCGTATCTGTGTGTCTGGTAACTTCTTTGTATTCGGTATTCCTTTTCACAGCACAATCTCAAACTGGATTTGTAGCACAATTCTCATTTTGAGGCTCAGTACTAGTACTTCCCACCAGATGTTTGACTTCTGGAGGTTTTATATCACTTTAAAATGGTCTTCCAGTAGCTGGCATAAGTTATCTTGATTCTATGGAATTCTCTTCCTTTATTTTTTTTAAAGATGCACTGTATGTTCTCAAAATAGTTCACAATCAGCTTAACCTAACAAATTAAGTGGTATGAATTTCAGGTAAATGTGCTTGCTTTGTACTGAGTAACTTTCAAAATGTCTGTATTTTTGTTTAATTCACTGTTCTTGTATAGAATATTGTAGCTACACACCCTAGTGTAGACAGACTCTCAATCCCAGTTGCTGTTAACATCTGATACCCCATGTCACAGATACTAGTGATTTCCTGTTGGGTTCTGCCCTAGGTTGTGGTCTTCTGCGTCTCCAGGCACTTTCCCTGTTTTGGGTGCCTTCTCTGCTATTCAAACAGCATTGGAGAGGTTTTGTGGGGAGAGGATCCTTTGTATTCTCATTTTCCCCACTGCCAGAAACAAATGCACGCTTTTGTGAGATTGGAAGAAAAACCCATAAATTTACCAGCATACATGGATCAGGGAACCCAGAGAATGGCGAGGCTATGCGCAATTGATAGAAACATTTCACTAGCATGAGACAATGCAGCTAGAGAGAGCTCATGGCTGCATTGGGGACCTGGGAATGCCAGATGTTGAAAGTGAACTTTTCTAAACAGAAGCAGGGCCCAATTTCAAACAGAAATGTGTTAATGTGAACTAGGTACCTTTTAGTTTCCGCCAGCAGCATCCACATGGGGCAGCAAGAGCCAGGCTTTCAGTGTGCTCTGCAATTCACACACCTGTAGTTCACGGGGCGGGGCAGCATAGACAAGCCCTTAGTTGTTGCAATTCAAACTATTCTATTCCTGCTTCTGCTAGGGCTCAAATATCTGCCTCCAGCTGGGGGCCCCAGCTTCCATTTCTGGTAGAGTAGAGCCAGACTTAAGGATTCTGGACTGTTATCTTTATTCAGACGCCTTGGTATTAGCCCAAGCAGAGAGGAGGGCTGGCTTTGTGGTCAAGATGCTCACCTCCCAAGTACCTAGGATTATGGAGAGGCCCCAGATCAGGAACTACATCAGCCTTGGTTGCTGCAGACAGTTTGGTGTGTCTGGAGTAACTCTGCACGGATTGATGCTACTATCCCTAGATCCCTTCTGTCTTTTGAGTGCCCTTATAGAAAATTTGGAGAGATGCTCATGTTACTTTTTCAGCCATGTAAGAGCCATTGTGTGTCTTGAGGTGCTTCACTCTTTTAAACGATGAAGTGTTTCTCTGAGCAGCTGCTGGTGGCAGAGGATCAAGAGTTGATGAGGGGGAGGGGCAAGTTTAATTAGAGGGCTATCTCTATTAATAATGGTATCTACAGTATTTACAATGTCCATTAAAAGTCCATAATGGGGACTGAAAAGAGAGAGGTGTGGGGAGGGGAAATTTCCTCGTGACATTTTATTAGAGTTTCCATCAAATTAGTGTTAACAGATTTGGAATGGATGTAGCCCTTTGACAGCCTTGTAATATTCTCATTAGTACTAATGAAAATCAAGCTGGAAGCCTCTGGATGTTGACAGTCTGGACAGGGTCTGTGTGACCTGAGCTAAACCTCTCCGGATATGTCTACACAGCAATTAAAAACCCACAGCTGGCCCAGGCCAGCTAGCTCAGGCTAAGAGGCTCTTTAATTGTTGTGTAGATGGTCGGGCTGGAGCACAGGCCAGCCACGGGTGTCTAACTGCAGCGTAGTCATGCCCTCCGTGAACTGAAGTCCCCAAGATCTTCTGAACATTGCCTGCTGCAGTCTGATCTCCAGCTGGATGCATCAGAACAGCAAAGTCACTTGCTGATTTTCTACCCTCTCTCCCCTTTCCCTCAACATCTTCTTACTTCAAGCTGTGGTAGAAGTTAAGTGTGGTGTATCTGTATGTCTTTTCACACCCCCGAGTGAGGAAAGCTTCTGCACTGTAAGTGGCAGTGTAGACAAGCCCTAATATTCCGGGACCAAGGTGGCTACAACAGCACGGCATACAGAAGGATTAAGACCATTAGGCAACAGTGGTAGCTAGCAGGCAGGTATCCTCTATGGATCGGTGATGGGGGGTGGAGGG